ATATTAATTAAATTAAATAATTTTTAAATCATCTTAATAAAATGGTAGGTTGGTATAACAACCCCCGTTGTTCACACCTATTCAAGTCTTTTCTCTGTCACTTTCCTTGTTTTTAAATATTATAATTAATTATTTAAAAAATATTATAAATAAATAAAATATTAATTAAATTAAATAATTTTTAAATCATCTTAATAAAATGGTAGGTTGGTATAACAACCCCCGTTGTTCACACCTATTCAAAGTCTTTTCTCTGTCACTTTCCTTGTTTAAGAATGGCTCCACACTTGGAATCCCAATCGCATTCCGAATTTGTTCGCAGCCTTGCAAACTTCATGCAGTGATGGTAAGATAAGATTTTTCATTTTTTTTTAATGGTTACAATTTTGAGATGAGGATTTAAAACCTAATCTTTGAGTTGTGATGCATATACAACGTAATTTATAGTCATTGGAGAAGCAGGCTAGGTGCGGTAAGATAAGATATTTGTGGTTGCTAGATGTGAAGAACTTTAGTGTGGCTTCTGATATGTACAAATTTGTCAACAACCCAGTTAGAGAGCAACCAGTCAGTAAGCTCAGTTAATCAATGCTAGAGGGACGGAACTGTTTTTAGGTAGCCGACAACTTTAAACTCTCTACTCATTAGTTCTTTTCTTTAGCATCGACGACAGTTGTTTTCTTTTAATCGTATAGGAATAATGGCGTTTCTAGTCCCCAATTGTTTGATCAAAAGTATAAACTGGTCCTCAATTTTTACTTTGTTATTTTTCAGTCCCACACATTTTATTAGTTGCCAAAGTAGTATATCGTTCAGGTATTTACCCGCATTCAATATTAAGATTTAGAAGTTAGTACTGTACTGAGAAGGATTTTATTTATTTAACTGTCCAGATTTTATTTATTTAATTTTGACAATTGTGTATTATTAATGGTTAAAGTAAATTATTGGATTTAGTTAAACCTTTTTTTGTCAAGTTTAACATAAAAAATTAGTAACATAGAATGTGCGAATTATTGATGATTCACTTAAAATTTCAAAAATAAAATATTTGAAAAATTAAGTGCTTATGATCTAAAAATTAAAGTTGTTACTCATTTAAATTATGAAATAAAATAAATCACCCAAAATATGGTTTAACGAGATCTAAGAGTATAGTTAGAAGTAAGAATGGATATAGGTGCATCCCACAATCTTTTGTATAACGTACAATTACATTAATATTGTGGAGTTTATTTCAACTGATAATGCTTTTTTTTTTTCTGTGAAAAAGGATTCTTGGAAACAATTTAAATATGCATGGATGTCAATGAAGGGATTTAAAAGCTCATGTACCCAATTAAGGTAAATTCAAAGTGAGGGATCAGAATGAAACAATTTTAAATGAAATGGAAATGTTTAAAACTATATGGACCAGACTCAGATAAAGCAAAACTTCAAGGACAGAATTGAATTAGATTGAAACTTAAAGGATAAAACCAACATTTAGCCCATCACCTTACAAAATTGATAGATTTTAACTCCTAACCTTATAATATGACATTTTTAACCTTTTATCTTACAAAATTGGTAGGTTTTAACCCCTCACCTTATATTATGACACTTTTAACTCCTTTATTTGTACAAATTGAAAAAAATAACCTTTATTTAACATCAAGTTTTAATATTCTATTAGTTCTGTTAGTTAACTATCAGTTTTGTTAATTGACTGTCAATTCTGTTAGTTGACTGTTAGTTCTGTTAGTTGACTGTTAACATCCGTTAACATTTTGTTAATGAAACTAACAAATAAAAGTAAATTTAAATTTCATATTTTTTATAACGAAATGCTAACAGATGTAACAGTCAATTAACAGAACTAATAGAACGTTATAACCTGATGTTAGATGAAAGTTATTTTCTTTAATTCGTATCAATGATGGGCTAAAAATATCATAATGTAAAATAAATGGTTAAAACCTATCAATTTTGTAAGGTGATGGGTTAAAACTTATCAACTTTGTAAGATAAAGGGTTAAAACTGTCATATTATAAAGTGAGAGACTAAAACTTACTAATTTTGTAAGGAGAGGAGCTAAATGTTGATTTTTACCAAACTTAAAGGACTCGATTGCATAAAATTGAAATTGTTGGGTGAAATTAACGATATTTTTTTTAAAATGATGACTTTATCAATGATGATTAATTAAGATAAGTCAAATTCAAGTTAATAAAATAAATAATTATTCTTTGATTTAATTTCATGACATTAAAAAGAAAAAGATAGTTCAATGTAATATTAAATTAACAGATAGATCTAATAAATAAAATATTTATTAAATTAAATAATTTTTAAATTATCTTAACAAAATAATAAATTGTTACAAGTACAGCTGTGGTTCACACGTATGCAAGTCTTTTCTCTATCATTTTCCTTTAAAAAGGGGTCCACACTTGGAATCCCTCGTTCATTCCGCATTCCGAGAATTTTTTTTTTTTATTTTTTTGAGAAATTAACCACATTCGGAATTTGTTCATGGCTTTGCAAACTTCATGCGGTGCTGGTAAGATAAGATAGGTAAATGATTTTTGTATAATTTTTTATTTTTTTATAAATTTATATATTATTTAAATAATTAATTTTTTTAATTTATATAAAATTTATGATATTAAATATATTTATTTATTTGATAATAAATAAAAATTATATCAAAATATAATATAAAAAAATTATTCTTGCGTATTACCGTCCGATAAAGATATTTGTGGTTGCTAGTTGTGAAGAACTTTAATGTGGCTTCTAACACTACTAAACAACAAGATTTAATCAACAAAAGTTTTCGTCGGTTATGTGAAAAATTTTATCAACTATAAATATAATTTAGAGATATAACCGATACCAAACGCTCTGGAAAATTCCATTAACACTGGAAGCAGGTCCGCGCCTTTTATTCGTATATTCAAAAACTCAATACAATGAAAATGTCATCCAAGCGGCCAAATCAACAAGAATATTCCAAGATCTATGAGAAACAGAATCTTAAACACATAGGGACCAATTTCATGGGCCCAATTGCTTCCGGGTACTCCATTTTCCGATATTCCAGGAGGCAAAGCCACTAGATATTGGTCCTATGCTCTCTGATACAGAAATATACCTTGGTCTGGACGAAACAGAGCCAAAAATTGACCAACGGAGGTCGTCTGGAGCCCGGTATGAGCTTTGTTTCTTGCGCGGTTGTCTCAAATGTAGGGCCCTCTGGTTGGAGTTAAATCGGACGGTGAGGGAGAAGGGGGATTTCGGCTGGATTTTTGCTGGAAAAGGGGGTTAGGTTCGACTGAAACCCTAACGCGATTTTTTTTCCTTTGTATATTGAAAGGTTGGTTGATTAATATACCAGAGATTTAAATATTTAACTTTAATCTCAAATTAAAATTTTAAATAATAAGTACCAATTTAATTAAATTTTTATTAATTGGTATTGGATTTCTAATTTGATATGGAGGCCTGTTTAAAGTTATGTTTATTTATACACTTGTTTTCTCTTTTATCATGTAGAAGAAATTGCGTTTTTTGGGCGCCAGTTTTTTACTCAAAAGTATAAATTGGTTCTCAAATTTCAATTGTTAGTTTCAGTCCCAAGCATTTTATTAGTCGCCAAAATATCGTTTTATTAGTGGCCAAAGTAGTATATCGCTCAAGTATTCGCCCACACCCAATATTAAGATTTTAGTATGGTACTGAAAAGGATTTGATTTATTTAATTTTGACCGTTGTGTATCATTTATAGTTAAGGTAAACTATTATTTGTTAGACCTTTTTCTTCAATATTAACATAAAAAATTAGTAATACAAAATGGATGGAGACACAATTTTAAAATGTTAGTGACAGGAAGGGCTAGGGACTTAAATAAAACATACTTCAGGAATTTCATTTTGTTCAAGGAAAATTTTAATTAAAAATATTTTTGAAGGCAGGTATGAACAATTTTGCAAAATTTTGGAAATTTCTCTTGAATTTATTAATTCTTTGTTTGATAATGTGTGATGCATGTTAGGAGAGATTTAACAGTGTTGTATAATTTAAATTATACAATATAAATTATTAAATAAAATATAAGCGTTTTA